CAACCGCCAAAAACCGATATAGGAAGAATGAGAAAAACAACATGAAGCGCAAGAGTACTATATATTGACCAAATTGCATAGGCAATTTAAGGAAGGAATGCAGACTAACCTAGGATGCCGCAGCTAACAGAGCTGGTGGTCTTGATTAAGGGAAATCAATGTCTAATCAAGTCAGCCACATACGGCAACAGATGTAAAGGCAGCTTTGTGACAAATATTTATGACACCTACTTTGTGTCTCACTTTGAATGGAAAAGTACAAAAAACTTGAAATCCTTGTCGATGCCGTATCCTGCCATGCAGGTTTTATTGCAAAGGACGGCGTTTAGGTCAGAAGTGTTTGCACCACTGGGATATTCAATCACTCGCTAGGTATGTTTCAAATCTGTAGGTGCGGATTGAAGAGCTGCTGTGTTGACCTCGCACATAGAGATGATGGTCATAAATTGGTTTGAAGTCTCATTTTCCCCGCAGGATTTTGACCAGCTGCCATAGCTTAGAACCCACTTTGCTGCGGCATCCCCCACATGCCGAATGACAGAGATAATGAGAACATTTTATGGCCTGGGTTGATGACCAGGGAGAGGCAAGCGTATTGCGAATGCAAGAGCTGTAAATAGTACATAATAAGCACCACATGGCTGAAATCCACTGGACCTTCCATTAGAAAGCAAAGAAGATAGTCGCCCGTCTCACCTGTTTCCACCAGTCCAGCTCAGGCGAGAGAAACGTGATTGCTGCAAAAACAGAAGGTAGGTGACTGCTGACCAGGACGGAGATAGAAACGGAAAGAATTCTGATGCCATCATGTGGATGACAAGACACATTGCTGCGAGCGAGCGCTCTCGGGGGCTTGACAACCATGGGAAATAGGGAAATTTGCAAGAACGAGAACAACGGGTTTGCTCTTCATTTGCAATTCCTTGTCAGCCAGCGTAATGGATGCAACCCCCATGTCAACATTGTTAACGACACTTATTCCAGCTTTTAATTCTCCAAAGAGAAAAGTGAGCCAGTTAATAGTCTCCTTTAGACTCTTAGGATAGAAATTCCTTCTGTGTACATATTGCTGCCACCCAAATAATTGACATTTATAGCTTTGATTTCAACACAGCATTTTCAAATTCTTTTTGTCATTCACAAGTTTTGCAATCATGTAAAAACGTGAACAATGTTTGTTGTTATGAACTATTCGGTTGAAACAGAAATTCGTAAATGACATGGCAAAGTCGTGTACAGTTTTCATGATCGCACATTTTGCCTTGGAAAAAGTTAACATTTCATTGCATTGTAACATTAAAAAAAACAAACAAACAAACAAACAAAAAGTGGATACAACACAATCCTTCCGAGACACAACATTCCCCTTGGCAGTTTGCAGCGACATTTTATAAATAGCTTTTGTTTTATTATTACATGCCTATCGTTTTTCTGTAGCGCTCATCCTGGAACCTTCAACTGCAGATATGCTATCGCTAAACACGATTTCACTGTGTCCATGCCTAACAGAACATAAAATTACATGATATAATTGTGTACATTTGTCATGATTTCCTATTTTTCCTCTGGCCAAATTTGGACAAAAAGGACTGTGCTGGAGTAAATAAATTTGACCTGTCTCTGTTAAACCTGAATGGAAATTTTTTAAAATGTGGTCAGTAACTACATTAAATGGCAATAAAATAACATCCAATCAGCAGAAGCAAGTGGTGTCCTTTGACATCTGAATGGTATCTAATACATTGTAAATATATGGCTGGCTCAGCTGACATGAGCAACATATCCGGCGCTGACATAAAGACTGTCCCATGTTGGAAATTCCCCTTCTATGGCTGCTTACGAAGGAGTAAGCGTCAGTAACAGACAAAATTGTTATTTAACAAGAACACAACTGGAAACTCCGTCGACTGGTAATTGTAGTACGTATAGCAGCTTCCTCAACTGGCGGACCGCGATCCACGACCGGACCGCCGACCTCCTCTGTCCGGACCTCCTCTGTCCGGACCCCCGGCAAATTGTATAAAATAATAATTTATAAAGTGATTTTTACGTTATACATTTTATATTTGTGGACTATAATCTGCGCATTACCTCGATCGCTTGTGAAAATTATCCGTTGTATTCTTTGCGTGCACTAACATTTGTATTGCAGAGGACCGCAGCAGCGCGACTGTGTGTTGTATAATGTTTGACTAACTGGAGACCCTGGCTGAGCAGGGCATGTCAGCGATAACGATGCGCTGATTGGCTCCTCTGAACTTAAGGTGTGCCCATACATAAGCGTCAGCACGCGTCTATCCCAACACACACGCATTCAAAATGGATGATTGTGTCAGGAAACAGACGCATGCGCGACGCCACAGTTGTGCTCACAGCTTCAGTCCAGGAGAGCTGCACACAGACAATTAGACAAGACGAATCGCGGGAGGTTTCGATTGTGTGCAGTTTTGCTCCCGTCTACCCGGGGATCTTTGCAGCTGTTTAACAGCAGAACACCACAACATGGTAAATGAACATAACAATGGCGTCCTCAAATAATATTTGCATGCCTCAGACATTGCATTCACCTTTAGTGGAAGAACAGCACTGCACATTCCTGTGCTCCCTTGTGTCAGTATTTAAAATGGTTCTTAACTCCTCTTCTGATATGTTTCAGTGATTTCAGAGGGGATGTGAAAAGGGGAATTGTACAAATGAAAAGGATATTTTTGTTTTCATGTTTAGTATTTATTTTGGTAAAATGAGTATTGTTGTGTTTTTGTTAAATTAAGGGGAAAAAAAGACAACTACTGTTTAACAAAGTTAAAGTAAAAATGTCTTATTTCCCTAAAAGGGCTATTTCTATTATTAAGCAGGCACAACTTAACACAATAAGAGTTCCTGTGCCTCAACACAATACCTCTCATTATTTGCTGGGTACTGGCAAAGTGAATAATTATTTTCATGCACCCCATTATTGGTTGGTTGTGAGGAGTGTTGATTTGTATAAGCTTGGCTTGACCATACTAAATGGGCATATAGCCCTGCTCCCCATCACCGCCGTGCATGGGACCGGACCTTGGTCTTATTAAAAAAAAAAAAAAAAAGTGGACCGACAGCATCTCTAGTTGAGGACCACTGACGTATAGTTTGGTACCACACGTGGTACACAAGCTCCTTCTAGTGGTTTGCAAAATAATAAAACTATATAAGGTTCAGTTTAAAATGTTGTACTTCACTCCCGATATATTTGCATATAAACTGTTTTCAAACGTCGGTGCCATTTTTACTTAACTTTTATGCGCAATAAATTTTGTTTGAACCATTTGGTCCAGTTAAAAAAAATCCTATAAGTAGTCTTACTACTGAAACGGTGTAAAAAGTTAGGGTGGTTTACATATTCATTTACTGTAATATACTTTTTAAGGAGGGAGAGATGTGATGTGGCCCCGGACATTTGCCACAGGGGCACGGGGTGCGGGCGGTCATTCACAGCACGGAATAATACTGTTCAGGGGCGTCACTAGGTTTCAAGAACAAGGGGGGCTTAGCCCCAAGGGGAACACAGCCCCTTTAGGGGGGTCCGGGGGCATGCCCCCCCGGGAGAATTTTTTTCTACATTCTGTTAAAAATCCATCAATTCCGTGCACTTTGAGAGCAAAATGAAGAGGCTATGAAGAACTACACACATCACATTAGTATCCTCTTTACTATGATGGGGCTTCCTCCCCTGGACTTTAACTGGACTAGATAATAGAAATTATAAAGAGTTCAAAAGTTCAATCTTGGTTGTTCAAGGGAATTAAAAGGATGCCCGATAACATAACCTATATGACAGTAGGCCTATATTCCTCTCTACCAAAATGTATGAATATATGCTGAGCCCCCAGAAGACTATGTATTTTGAGATGTCTGCCGTGATATGCAATTTAAGTTAGTACAATGAGATGCAAAAGCTTCATCACTTTGGAAAAACACAAGTTTGCTGCTCAATACTTACTGTAAGCTCCGAATGCATTTTGGGAACAGCCTTGCAAGTAAAATTAGCCTTGAGATCTGAGAG